AATGTTAGGGGCCAGGCCCTTATTGTTGGTATGCTTTGAAAGATCGTAACATTCTACACAACTTTTGTTCTATATGTTTTAACAAAACATTTACAGGTAAAAAAAAATAGTATAGAAAATGTGCTAAGAAATTTAAAATTCCAGATAGGACATTTTTCGGGCCATAGCGAGCGCCGACGTGCGGCATTTCCGGTAAAAATGAAATGCGTTATGCATATCTACAGACATAGGTCTACCATACCTGAAAGTTTCATGTTTCTAACTAAAGCCGTATATGGGAAAATCTGGGGACAGCCTGACCCTTCAAAAATCATTAAATCGACAATATCTCCGGACCGGAAGAGACGTCATCAAAACAGAAAAAAACGCACAAGGATCAAGTGATGATACATAAGTCCTGAAAGTTTCACGGAAATCCATCGAGCCGTTTTCGAGAAATCGCGTGCACAAAATCGGTAAGAAAAAAAAAATTAATAATAACTAGAGCAAAGCTCGTTGCAAAGCAACGAATAGGTGTTCCGTCCAATTTACGACGTTGACTGCTTGATAGATTTACACAAACAAAGAAGGAAGAACAAGTATATTTGAATAAAATAGGCGATTGAATTATTTAAAATAGGTTTAGAAACACATGAAAGAATGATATCTTTTAATTTCATCCCATTTCCGGTTCTTTTAAATTTACTTCCGATATGACAAGAGAAGTGCTCAAAACAACTTAAAACTCCACAATGAGTGTGTACAAATATTTCCTGAAAGTTTGGATGAAAAATACTCATTTTTGGACAACTTCCGGTTTAGAATTACAACTTCCGGTGGGAATGAAATGACTTGAAACACTGTATATGTTAATGTTATAAACATTCAAAAATGGAAAAATTTAAAAATTGCATATTTTTAAACTACTTCCGGTGGACAACGGAAGAGACGCCGGAAAAAACAAAACACCGGAGACAAATTTACAGATCATGATCTATTATCCCAGAAAGTTTCATGACTCTATCTTTAACCATTTTAGAGGAGAGACCCGGACAAAATTTCAATATAAATAAAGGAAATCGGGAATAACTCGCGACCGGAAGTGACATCATCAAAATAAAAAAAGGATGCCTTAAGTTCATGTAACTTGCCATCATTGCTAAAAGTTTCATGAAAATCCATCCATGCATTTACGAGAAATCGCGTGGACAAAATCGGTTAGAATAATAATAATAAAAAAAGTTGAAAAGAAACAACAGAATAATAAGAAGGTCTTCCGTTGAGACGGAAGACCTTAATAAAAGTGAAAAAGAAACCTAAGAATAACAAGAAGGTCTTCCGCTGAAGACGAAAGACCTTAACTAGATGCAATCTCGTTGCAAAGCAACGAGTTGGTCTTCCGTTTGATTTCTGATATATGAGGGTCTTTGAAAGGTGAAAAAGCAATTATAATTCTTGAGGGAAATGTCACCTAAAACCCTTTGAAATATATTTAGAAACAAATCAGACACGAATTCTTTTATTTTCAAATTACTTCTAGTTCTTCTAAAGTCACATCCGGTTGTGACCGGAAGTGCTAAGAACACATGTATATTGCACATTTAGCATGTATGAATTATCCCTGAAAGTTTCTATGAAAAATACTCAATTTTAGGCTACTTCCGGTTTCGGTAAGCCGTACTTTCGGTTGAAATAATATGACTTTAAACATTCGTCAACACTCTATATGAACACATACATTTGTTAAAAAATGAAAAAATTAAAAATTCGATATTTTAAAACTACTTCCAGTGGACAACAAGTGGTGCCTGAAAAAATGAAACCCGTATACCAAATTTAAGAGTCACGAACTATCATCCCTGAAAGTTTCATTACTAAATCTTTAACCATTTTTGAGAAAGCGCCTGAACAAAATTGCATTTTAAAATCAGTAAATCAGCCATAACTCGCGACCGAAAGTGACGTCGGCAAAATTACGAAAAAAAGGTTCAAGCTCATTTCATATATCATCATTTCTGAAAGTTTCATGAAAATCCATCGAGACATTGTCCGGAAATCGTCTGCACAAAATCGGTAGGAAAAATAATAATAATAATAGTGAAAAAGAAATAACATAATAATAAGAAGGTCTTCCGCTGAAGACAAAAGACCTTAATAACTAGAAACCTTGTTGCCATGACAGCAAGAAGGTCTTCCGTCCCTTTTCTGTCTTTGGAGAAGTTGATTCCTCATTAAACAACATGTTATGTTGTGCATTCCCTATAAAACACCTTCATACATAAAATATAATTAAACGTTTATATTTTGAAAATATTGCAAACTGGAACAGAAAAAAATACGAGACATCATTTTATGGAAGGGGGGGGGGGGACCTACGTACACATCATCTTTGTGTGAATTTTTTTTTTAAATTTGAGATTCTCACACTTGATTGTACAAAATATAAAATTATGATAAATAAGATTTTTTTTCATTTAAGGACTATCTACACTGATTTGTTTTATTTTACCTGATTTCATGCATTTGGTTAATCCCCCCCCCCATCCCCCGAGTCAGCACCACACAGGCATAACAAATTGATTGACAATTTGCTGATGTAGTACGTGAAAGCATTTTTTATTGTGTTAATACACTGATTATCAATAATTAACCTACCTTTATGTGCTAAGTTGCTTTGAGCTTTTAATTATGACGGATCTTGCTCTGAACTAAATGTCATTTAAGTTTTTCCCCTCTTATTTAAAATTGCTATTTGTTATTCAATCAAGATGAGAAAATAATAAATTCTACTTTCAAAATATAATTTGACGAATCTCCAGATTGTGATTCCATTGCATAAGTACCTAGCCACATTTACATTTACCTTGTTTTGTCATATCACAATTGAATGTATGCACATTAATAAGTGCAAAATTCAACTGCAAACTCTTTATGAAGGAGTAAAAAGGCACACTGCTTTTGTGAAGTCAAACACCATTGCTATGAAGTCGAACGACATAGCCCCCCCCCCCCCCCCCCTTCAAAGATGAAATCTTACATTTGAGCCCAAACAACAGTTGGAAAAAAATCGGACATTCTGGGGATTGAATCCGAGTCGACCGCATGAAAATTCAACACGCTAACCATTACGCTATCAAAGACCATCGCATCAAAGTAGCAAGTAATAAATATCTAGAGTACGGGTTAATTAATTTTTAAACAAATTACATAATTAGCATTCTGATAAGACTCTCTATTTAACCTATTAATATCATTAAAAAATATTGAAAACAAAATAGTTTTAAAAATTACCGTTTCAAATCACCTCTTTTGACGACCGGAAGTGGCGACGAAACACGAAATGTTTTCATCAGACATCTACAAATCACATTCTATCATACCTGAAAGTTTCAGACTTCTACCTTAAACAGTTTCTGAGAACATTCACGGACTAGATTTTTAGTGGAAAAAGTGAAAAATCGTAATAATTCCTGACCGGAAGTAATTTTCAAGATTTTAAAATGGCATAAGATAATACATAATTCCTGAAAATTTGGGTGAAAATCATTGAGTAGTTTTTGAGATATCGCAATTTGAAAAGGTCAAAAAAAAAAAAAATAAAAATGAAAAATAGAAAATAATAATAACTAGACGAGCTTGTTGCAAAGCAACAAATAAGTCTTCCGTCTAAATTTGAAGGAGATGAGATTGAGATCGAGAGACTTCTACGGTCATATGTGCAAAAATGAGCCATTTACCATTACTCTCGGTGTGACCGGAAGTGACGTCATTTTGACGACTTTTAATGGTCTCCTTAGCTGCTACTTATCATTTTGAACAACTTTGCTTCTTTGATGCTATACAAATTCTCAATACTTTTTGAGATATCAGGAAAACACTTTTGGCCCCTCTAGCTCCCTAATGTTAGGGGCCAGGCCCTTATTATTGGTATCCTTTGAAAGATCGTAACATTCTACACAACTTTTGTTCTATATGTTTTAACAAAACATTTACAGGTAAAAAGATATTATAGAAAAAGTGTTAGAAAATTTAAATTCCCGATAGGACTTTTTTCGGGCCATAGCGAGCGCCGACGCGCGGCACTTCCGATAAAAATGAAACGCCTTCCGCATATCTACAGAGATAGGTCTACCATACCTGAAAGTTTCATGTTTCTAATTAAAGCCGTATATGGGAAAATCTGGGGACAGCCCGACCCTTCGAAAACCATTAAATCGGCAATATCTCGGGACCGGAAGTGACGTCATCAAAACAGAAAAAAAGCATAAGGTTCAACTGATGTTACATATGTCCTAAAAGATTCATGGACATCCATCGAGCCGTTTTCGAGAAATCGCGTGCACAAAATCGGTAAGAAAAAAAAACAATAATAATAATAAAATTGAAAAAGAAACCTAAGAATAACAAGAAGGTCTTCCGCTGAAGACGGAAGACCTTAATAATAAGAAACAGTAGAATCACTAAAAGGTCTACCGTGAAGACAGAAGACCTTAATAAGAAGAAACAATAGAATCATTATAAGGCCTTCCGTGGAGACGGAAGATCCTAATAATAAGAAAGTTGAAAAAAGAAACATAAGAATAATAGAAGGGTCTTCGGCTGAAGACGCAAGACCCTAATAATAATAAAAGTGAAAAAGAAACAATAAAATAATAGCAGGCCCTTCCGTTGGAGATGGAAAACCCTTAATAAGAAACGATAGAATCACTATAAGGTCTTCCGTGAAAACGAAAGACCTTAATAAGAAACAGTAGAATCACTATAAGTTCTTCCGTGAAAACGAAAGACCTTAATAACAAACAATAGAATCACTATAAGGTCTTCCGTGAAGACGGAAGACCTTTATAATAAAAGTGAAAAAGAAACATAAGAATAATAGAAGTTTCTTCCGTTGGAGACGGAAGACACTAATAATAATAATAATAATAGTTGTTTTTGTTATTATTGTTGCTGTTGCTGCTGCTTGATTGATTTAATCTTTCTGAATGATTATTATTATAAAGATTGATAATCATTTTAAGGTAATCCAAAAACGAGTGGATGGTTCTGTGGGCTTTGACAGGATCTGGACGGATTATAAGAATGGTTTTGGTGTACCGGATCAGGAAGTCTGGATCGGTAAATTGTAAAACTTAAAATCCGATCATTTATACGTTGCTGAATTTGACTAAAGACCTTTTTCGGGACAAGTAAAATTTTGCATGGAAGAAACGACTGCAAAATATTTATTAGAATAATTATTTGTTGTGTGATTCATTAGAAGATAAAGGATGAATGCTCTTAGTAATAAGTACATGCAAACTATGCGACAAAATTAACTTTCAACGCGAGCCTTTTACTTTTAATGGTAAGTATCTAACCAACAACTTTATATAATTACATTAATTGAAGGTTTGCATATACAAAATGATGAGCCGCTTTCGTAAGTGAAGTTGATTACAATTTCTGGAATATCTTTAGAGTGATGAGGACGCTCACTTCTTTTACTATGTATATAGTCACCTCATGTTTATCTGTTGTTCTACAATGGGACTTTGTATACATAATTTTATATCAAAAGGAAGGTTATCAGGTGCAAGGAGCATGCGTCTGTTATCTTTAAAAACTGTTATTCTTACAGGTGATCTATCATAGCAAATGATTTTCGCAACGTTTTGACCTGTTGAATATCAAATTACCAAATGAATAATTTAACTTTGTGAATACTGAAGTTTTGTACATGTCTAGTATTGAAGAATATGTGTTGGAAGATGTTGATCCTGCTTCTCTTGCTCAAAGCAAATTAAATTTTAGTATCGAGAGAATTATGTTACTTTGCACACCCTGCCCTGTATTATTATTCACTATCTTGAGTTTTAAAAAAAATGTTACGAGAGTCTTAGTGAAGGTAAATAATTCCAAAGTGTCGCCATACTCCTTATCTTTGGTTTTCTGCATTTCTAACTGAGCTACGAGAAAATGTAATCGTACAAATAAAATCAGCAAGGTTTGACCTACGATCATACATTCCTGCGTATGCGTGTGATATGTCGGGTATTGACTTATGATAATATTTATGAAATACCAGATTTTGACTTACGTTCATACATTTATGATATGTCAGGTATTGACTTATGATCATACGTTTATGATATATCATGTTTTGACTTAAGATCATACGTTTATTACATGTCAGGTATTTACTTAGTTTATATTTAATTGCTGTGGTAATATTTAGAAATTTATTTCAAAATTAAGGATTATCTCCCTCATGCATAGCTCTGATCCTTCGACGTATTAGGCTCCAGTCTTTGGCACCTTTTTTCAGCTCTTCCAAGTCTTTTTATTTAAATATTTTGGATTTCCAAGGTTTCGGCTTGAGCATCACTGAAGAGACGTAATTTGTCGAAATGTGCATCTGGTGCATCACAATTGGTACCGTATATCGATTTACTTCATACTTTTATGATATGTCAAGTATTGATTTACGATCATACGTTCGTGTTATGTCAGGTATACAATCATAAATTTGTATAATCAGTCAGGTATTGATCATATGTATTTGTTGGAGCTTCTCCTTATTCTTAATTTCGTTTTGAAACCTTTGTAAATACTCGTACCTTACTGATGAGAGGAAGAACACGCGATTATGTCTTTTTTCTACCTACATGTATATAAGACATTGTCAAAATAGTCCACAAATACCTAATATATATACGAAATATTAAGATAACGAACAGTAATCAAACTCAAAAGCCCATTGAAACAATACAAACTTGGGAGGAGGAAAAACACGGACCTCTATGAACATCAGAGGTAGGGTCAGGTGCTATAGAGGAGTGAGCATCCCCTGTCGACCGGTCACACCTGCCGTGTGCTCCTTGTCATGATCGGGCAAACGGAAAAATCCGTAGACAATTCAGTGTGAAAATAATGTCCTAACAGATTGTATGAAAAACGTCAGTCAACGACTTTACGATAGATTGTATTTGCTGACAAGGTCATTGTATTAACATAGAAATATATGAAGAATGCACTAGATAGCTTAAAATGTAATTTGTTTCTTCCTTATATTTTACTTATGCTGGAAATAGAAATTGTATTGTTATTCCCTTATTGATTGAATTGTTGATATACTTTTAAACAGGAAATGATGTGATCCACCAATTAACAAAGGGAAATGACTCATCTCTCTATGTTTCCATAACTCAAGTGGATGGCACGACTTTATTTGAGTTGTATGGTCGATTTTCTGTTTCCGATGAAGCGGAGAATTATCAACTCTTTATGGATGGACCTGCCATAGGGACATTAGGTACGTTACAGGTGACATGAGTACATAACAAACACGTTAGAGCGTGGGAAAGACATGCATATGTATAAAACAAACTAAGAAAATTTCGTGTTTTGATTTGCAGTTTGATTGGCTAATTTTCTGATGTTTGAAGCAGTTAAATAAACATTGATGAAAGTGGGAACTTTTTATTGTGACGTCATAATAGAACGACACAAAGCATAAACCTTTTGTGTATTTCACATTACAAATCTCAACAAAATAAGGCGTAAACATCCAACAAAATGCATAGATTGCAATAGAATTGGAATAACTATCTTCGCATTTGTTCTTTACGATCGTTAACGTTGATTAAGGATCGCAAACATATTCTTGCAGTCAAGCAGGTTCGATCGCCAGTGGCCAGATAGCTCAGTTGGTAGAGCACCTAATTGGAGATTCAGGGTTCCCAGGTTCGAACCCCGGTCTGGTCCGTAGGATTTTTCTCCCTCGCCAGTAACATTTGGTGCCCTGTCTTGCCCTTGAAAACTAGGTTGGTGTCTTCAGGGCTGAGGACCTTTAAGGAGGAAGGAATGTGGCGGTCAGACGGGCTTGATCGCCGTTGGCCAGAAAGTTGAGTTGGTAGAGCACCTGACTGGAGATTCAGGTCCTGGGTTCGAATCCCGGTCTGGTCCATCGCATTTTTCTCCTCTCCTGTTTCACATCCATTTGACCGGCTTCGCCTACATGTCGCCAGTAAAACTTCGTTCGCGACCTTAGATCACCATTAACAGTCGCAAATAAGAAATGAAAAAAAGGTTATTCTCTGATTTTCATCCAGATACTTCAAGTTAAAACCCCTTAATGGGACTTTTTAGCGTTATTTTCCTTTGAAATGCTTAAGAGTGTATCATTACTTTTTTTTCTTCAATTCTATAGGTGATAGGATGTTAAACGTTAGTAGCGGTGACACTCTATCTGGGATGTTCTTTACTACCCCTGATAGAGACAATGATAGAAACCCGGTTGGTAGCTGTGCTGTAAGAAATCGAGGGGGATGGTGGTTTAACTATTGCCACGATGCCTACTTCAACGGACCCTGGGGTTCTACTATCTGGAGTCAGCCTTGGTTTCCCCTGATTGTAGATGGGAGAGATGTGAGGGGGACATTGATGATGGTCAAACGTGTCTAGTGATATCACTTTTTCTGTATACAAACTGGGACAGATGCGAGGGGTAAAGTTTCTCGGGACATTACTTATTCTGTATACATACTGTGACTAATGTGAGGGGGACATTGATAATGATTAAATGTGTCTAGGGGAATTACTTATTCTATATACAAACTGGTTCTGATCTGAGGACATTATTGATGATGATTCAACGTGTCAAGGGACATCTTTATCTTCTATATACAAATTATTTTCCTTTGAAAATTTCATGATCATTAAAAAAAATCTGATTATTTATATGTATGTTGGTGCCGGTGGTTTGCATTTGATTTACATATTTCTGAATTTATTTATTTATTGTTTTTTTATTCGTTGAATACTTAGCAAGACACTGTATAACGATTCTACTGAAGTTTTTAAAACACATCATGTTGGCATTTTTTTTTCCTGGTAAAGAAATTCAGTTACATTTAAAAATTATATATGTTGTAGATGTTCCCTTTCGATTGTTTTAGGTGGTTACTTTCTGAAGAACAAAAAGTAATTATTTCCTTTTTTCGTAAGTTTAAACTCGAAAAAGCCTTTTGTTGACGAGACAGATGTTCTTAGAACACAACTCTCTGATAAACTATTCTGATAAAAAAAAATATAATCAGTTATAATCTTTGCAATTTGTTTGCACTAAGTTCTATCTAAGTACTTAAAGGAATCGGGACAAAATTTGAAAAAGATATATTGTAAGCTTTTTTTTTTTTTTGATTATTCACTTTCTAGAGATTCATTGTAAATTTTCTGTATTGAATGAACTATGATAAGTTCTGTTAATAAACTGGGAACTAAAGTATTGTGTTCTTATTTAGAGTTATTGCCACATGAAGATAACCGAGTAATATGTAAACGGGAGATTTATGTGTTATGAAAGAAGTGATCATTTGAAGAACTTCACGTAACAAAATCATATACCTTTGATGTTCATAATTATCAAAGGAATTGAAATATGCCTAAAAAGGAAACATTTCCCTTATCTTGTCTCATAATTGTGATACTTAAAGGTATAGACAAATGTAATTCAATGGTCGTTTACTAATAATTTTTTCGAAGGATATGATGATATTTGCCCCCTTTTCCAGAAAAAAATTAATAGATATTATGATTTATATTAAGTAAGGGGACCTTAACCTGATCATAATAGGTTTTTGATTGGATATCCGCTATTATTATACCTCTGTATTTTCTTCTATATAAAGATATGACGAATAAACTTGCTATTTTTTCTAAACAGCCCCTACCGTGGAATAGTTTTTATGCTATTTACCCATATTGAAATAGTCATCGAACTATTCTCCGCAGCATCCCATTTCCCTCGCATTCCACTTTGGAACACTTATGGTTTTTTTTCGAATCATGACGTGAAACAAGCAACGTCTGCTTAGGTATAATAAAACACCTATTTAATGACTATTCGGACAATAGGAAATTTATTGTCCCTAAAGACATCAACTAGGCGCAGCCGAGGGAAATAATTGATGTCTTTGTGGACAATAAACTTGCTATTGTCCGAATGTCCAGTAAAAAGGTGTATAAAATGCTCGCCAATGTCTTTTTGTCTTTACGCAGACCAAGTTTGCGAATTGTTTATCCACTTAAAGACTGAGGACAGAGATTCCTAAATATTGTGTCAATAGCCTTTTTTATCACATATTCCCATTCCACATAGTTTTTTTTCTTCTATTTCATGTCTTAGCGGCATCTGACTGAACGTTATTACAAAACGAGGAACTATCTTTGTATTCGAAATTGTCTTCAGTTATTTACAGAGTGGTCTGATTTGGTTTGAGTCTGTAAAAGCCAAGGCTCTCTTTATAAAATCTATTAAAAATGTATAAAAATATGTAATAAATATTCAATATTAGACGTATATCTTTATCTGAAATGTATTGATATGAGCAAATTTGGACAAATGTAAGAATAGAAATACATTATTTTTGGAAGCAAGTTAAATAAAAAATCTGGATAGCACAAGTTGTGTACATGTAGATACACATGTTGTGTTTTCTCAATATCAATGAAGTTCTCCTGCATTACTGAAGTTCCATAAGTCACAGTTTCACACATATAGAAGTATTTACATGTAAGTATATTTCCTCTACCTTAGCTGCATTCCGAAAAATTTGAGCAGATTACACAGGCTGAGATCAGATCTAGGTATTGTGATACCTGAAGTTGATACATTTAATCAGTCTGAAATAAAATTTATCATTACGAGGAGTAAGTGGGGTATAGTTATTCTGTTAGGAGAGGTCATTAATTTTGTGCTAATTTTTGTATTACAGAGGAAAAAGAGATTAAGGGACTATTTGAACATCTTGACATCTATCTACATTATAGTCACCTGTAAGCATGATTTCTTGGGCAATCAGAAGTTAGAAGGCTATTCCCTATTCCCTATTGACTATTCGAATGGCGAACCGGATGCTGCTACCGGTTCCCTATTCAAATTACCGTAAGTGTCCTAATAATTTTTTTTTTCAAAATACTTGAATAACTCATTATAATACATGTTAAAGATGCAAATCAAAGACATCACTTAAAAAGGAAGAATGAGGACCCCAAACCAATGTAGCTAGCCTGACCAAAATGATGACAATGGATAGAAAAGGTAAACCTTGAACCAGGAGCTGGTTAACACCCTGGATCCCATATTTTGACCTTCATCTTTTTACAGGGGAGGGTTCTGGGAGGGACCCCTTGACTGTCAAAAGGAATTGAGTTTACAAGAGCGGTAACCCATTTAGCTAGCCCGGTCAAAATTGGAAAAATCCCGTATAATACAGTTATAAGAGTCCATAGTTCTAGGGGCTGGCTAACACCCTGGATCCCATATTTTGACCTTCATCTTTTTACAGGGGAGGGGTCTGGGAGGGACCTAATAAGTCACCTGAGTATCATGTATCAACCTTCAAACAATGGAATTTGTTTCTTGTTTTAAACCAGAGGCCATGAAATTCACAATTTTGAAAGAGGCACCATTGCTCATCATAACTATACACTTAACATGCTTAGTTTTATTACGTAATACCCAGAGGCAGAGCAGAGGAAGAAAGAGAAAATGCATTTGTATTATAAAAAGTAGTGTCCCACCCCAAAGGAACCTCTGACCCTGCAGGGGCCACATATTTCACAATTATGAAAAGGCACCCTTGCTCATCATTAATGTTTGATTAATACCAAGGAGCAGATTTCAAAGCATTAATTCATTAATCATTAACCAACCAACCCCAGGTACCTCTGACCCCTTGAAATTCACAATTCTGGAAGAAGCACCCTTGTTCTTTATAACTATGTACTTAGATCATCGGCATACATCGCCATAATACCCAGAAGCATAGAAGTTTCACAGAATTAATTAATGCATTTTCACTATAAAACAATAGAGCCCCACCCTTACACCAGAACCCCTGGCCCAAGGGCAATAAAATTCACAAATTTGGAAGAGTCACCTTTGCTTATCATAAATATGCATTTGGTTTGTTTGCTTAATACCCAGGAGCAGAGGAGAAGATTTTAAAAGCATTTTCATTATACGTTTAAATTCAACATAGCCAACCCTAGCACCAGACTCCTAACATGGGGCCATGAATTTCATTAAGGTAGAGGACTCAATGCTTATTACAATCATGCTAACAGTTTGACAGCTTATCTAGTTATTACAGCATGTTAAGGCCACTAACTGACATCTACTTTTCATCATAATATCTGACAAGTCTATATAATATCTGATAAGTCTACATAATATTCTGACAAGTCGACATCATTATCTGACAAGTCGACATAATTTTCTGACAGGTCGGCTTGTCAGATGTTATGTCGACTTGTCAGATAATGATATTGATTTATAGAATATTATGTTGTCGACTTGTCAGAAAATTTTGTTGACTTGTCAATAATATATCGACTTGTCAGATCTTTATATTGACTTGTCAGATCTTTATGTTGACTTTTCAGAGACTTATGTTGACTTGTCAGAAAAATATGTTGTCAACTGATGGCCTAATCTGGGCATGGACACATTTTTTATGTTGAATTTTTGAACTCGTGAATAAGTGACAAGTACACAAAACAAGAGGCCGAAGGGCCTTTACGGTCACCTGAGTACAATACAACAATTTAGAGGATCCATAAACTGATAAATGAAGCTTTGTTGCCCAAAAGCAAGAAAAATAGTATGATTAGCATCAACAACATAATTGGTCTAGTATCTATCTGTTCTCAATTTATCACTATTACCATGCACACTATTAACAAAATGTCTATTTTTAATCCCATATTATTACATGTACTTCTCACATTGGCCTCTCTTGGCCTTTGAAGAACATTTAAAAAGATAAGTTATTTTTGTCTCATTTTTATTCATCTATTACTTCCAAGTCTACCTGATCATTAAAACTATGAAAGTACTTTTAGTATTATACAATAAATATTCTTGCATAATTCTCGTATTTTATTGACCTTTCAAATACATTGTTTACAGTGATTAATTATCAAAGGTGAATGGCAAAGGGGAATAACTTTGCTTAGCAGAATACAAGATAAGAGAGCCTTGGCCATGTCCAGAACACTTGACTAAATGGTTCAGGTGTTCAATATTCTGGTAAAAATACCTTTGCATGTTAAAACGTTTACTCTGTTTGCCTCGAATATGCCCAGAAGCATAGAAGATTTTCAAAGAAATGCATTTCCAGTATATTATTAAATAAATAAAGCCCCACCCTTACACCAGAACATCTGACCCAGGGGTCATGAACTCACAATTCTGGAAGAAGCACCCTTGTTCATCATAACTATACACTTGTTTCTTTGCTTTAGAACCAGTAGTAGAAAAAATATTTTGAAAGAAATCATGCATTTTCACCATATAATCAATAGAGTCACCCCCCCCCTCTTTACCAGAACCCTTGACCCAGGGGCAATGAATTTCACAATTTTGGAAGAGGCATTCTTCCTTATCATAACCATGCACTTCCTTTATTTGAATAATACCCAGGAGCAGAGAAGATTTTGAAAGAATTTATGCATTTTCCCCATATAATCAATAGAGCCCTGCCCTAACACCAGAACCCCTGACCCAGGGGCCATGAAATTCACAATTTTGGAAGAGGCAACCATGCTCATCATATCTGTGTACCTAGTTTATTTAATATCCAGGAGCAGAGAAGATTTTCAAAGAATAAATGCAATTTTACTATATAATCAATAGAGCCCCGCCCTAACACCTGAACCCCTGACCCAGGGGTCATGAAATTCAAAATTTCTGAAAAGGCAGCCATGCTCATCATAACTTTGTTCTTAGTTAGTTTATTTAATACCCAGGAGCAGAGAAAAAGATTTTCAAAGGATTAATGCTTTTTCACTATATAGTCAATAGAGCCCCTCCCTAACACCTGAATCCCTGACTAAGGCCATGAAATTCACAATTTTGGAAGAGGCACTCTTGCTCATCATAACTCTGTACTTAGTTACTTTATCTAATACCCAGGGGCAGAGAAGAAGATTTTCAAAGGAATAATACACTTTCACTATATGATCTATAAAGCCCCGCCCTAGCACCAGAACCCCTGACCCTGGGGCCAAGAATTTCTAAATTTTGGTAGAGGGCTAAATGTTTATTACAATCATGCCAACAGTTTGACTGCTTGATGTCCAGGAGTAAAGAAGAAGATTTTTAAAGATCGCATTAATTTTGGTGGTTTTAGCCTCA